GGGGGAAGGGAGGGGAGGGGAAATACTCCAGTGATTGGAAGCTGAAAGTCAGCAGATTCATATTAGTAATAAAGCAAATAAAGCATGCGTCTTAAAAGAAAAAGTATATATTTAGTGGGTGATTTATCCTGGATTGTGAAAGATTCTTCTTCACTGAGAGAATTCATCTGAATTAGGTCAATGAAGTGTAGAATATGTTCTACATGTTGTAGAGATATGGTGTTTGAAAAACAGTCTTGGGAACAGTCAGGCTAAAAATTATGAAAATCATCCAATTTTTGCCTTGAAAAATAAGTTCATAAAATCCATTTGTTTTGAAGTTACTCTGCCTCCTCCCGTCACTGGTCATTGTCATAATTTTGTTTGGAAGTTCTCTCCAATCTCAAATCCATATTTTCATACATCTGTGGGACCATAGGTTCAGGTGTCTGCAAGACTGATTCAATCCTTCTATCTTCCAATTTAGATAATTTAAGTTCCAGACTTTGTCATCTTGGAAACTAGGTTTTACATACCAAGGTCCTGTTAGTTTTGCACAAGACTAAGTGTTGTTACGGTATGTTTAGAAGGCCCTGCTAAGAGTAAAAATGTTTAAGTACTTCAATATAATATTATTTTTCTCCTTTGTGTCTACAGAAATAGGAGAGCCTAGTATATATGGGCTGCATCTCCAAACGGTCAGATAAAACAAAGTAATGGTCCAAGTGTGAAAAGCATGCAACATGATTGCAATGGCAGCATACACATAAGAGTTAACTACTGTTCTTCATCTTAATGAAAAATGTAGCTTTTTCTGGAAGAAAATGAGGGTGTTAACTTCTCCACACTTGAAAAACTTGAGTAAATCTGTAGGCTAGTTGTGAATTAGATCTCATGTGTGCAGAGGGGAAATACTGAGATTGGTTATGCTTGTAGTATATTCTTAACAGTTGCATTAACCTGTTCTTTTGGTTTGCATTACATTTTCTCCAAGTTCAACATCTATACCCATTAACTTGCAATCTTTTAATGACCACAAACTTTAAGATGATGAATGTCAGGCAGTAACAGCAATATATTTTTTTCTAAATGTTTTTTTAAGAATAAATCCCTGAGATAGACAATTTTCAGAATATTTTAACTTTTTAGGAGGAATCCTCATGTCCTTACTGATAACAGTGTTGAGATGTAGTATTTTACTATTACTCCCTTACTTTACTGCAAGTCTGACTATGAAAGCCTGGAAAACGGCTGCACATTATCTTTTACAGTCTTACCTATAAAAGTGGTGACAGAAGAAAGTAAAAACAGTATACCTGGGGGTAAAAGGGTGTTCGTTTTGCAATAACCAGTGCAACTTGGCTAGTTGAATGGACTTGGAGAATGGGAAAAAGCCAGCTGGTTTATGAAGAAGGGGTTGAAATTCTCCACATTAGTGCTATTCTTTAAAGTCTAGGCAGATGAAAAGCTGAGCCCTGTGATCGGAAATACTCTCTTTTGCTCAAGGAGTTTTATAATTCTCTTAGTAGCTGGTTTGCTTGTGGTAGATTTTTAAGTCACATCCTGCCCTCAGGCAGCTAAGCAGAGAGAATAAAGTGATTAAAGGAAATTGAAAAGCAAGACCATTGGACATTATGAGGATGGGAACCAATCTTTTTTTTTTTTTTCCCTGTGGCAGAAGAGAAAAGACAAATTCATTTTTTCACTTAACCTTCATCTCCTGTCTATCCTGTTAAATACACTATTTGTACATGCATCTTTTCGGAGCTGCAACTTGACTTTCATTACCATACTGTCATACTTGGTTATTTCTTCCTCCAGCACTCAGCATCAAAACATGGATTTAATTCATACTCTTTAAGCCAAATGAAGGTGGCTGTGTAATACTCTCCCCATCATGTGCACTTCAGCATGTAGCCAGCAAAGCAGCTGATTTTCCGTTACAAACAGCGATGTTCACTTCATGTTGGAAACCAGGCTGTAATATAAATATTGCCAAAAAACTTCTCTACTTTATGTTAGAGGGTTTGGACCATTTCCTAGTGACTGATCTTCAAGACAGAGCTGTAATGACAACTGGCAATGATTAGCACCTCTGCTAGCAAACTTGACATTCCTTCCAAACATGAAATACCAGCATGGATGATTTCTTCTGTAATGGTTGGCCCTCTAGGTTAACACTGAGGCATATGGGTATCCAGTAAGGTGAGGATTTCTCTGCAGAATTACTGTGACAATCTTCTTCTGTTACCGGTATCTTGTATTCTGCCTACAGAGGTTATCTGTGGCCAAATTGTTGTACTAGATGGTATTTAAGCAAAAAATAGAAGATAATCTTCCTTCTAAAGACTATTTCTGGTTTTGCACCATTTCTACTAAATATAGTAGTAAACAGTGATTTAAAAGAGGCTTTTTGTCTCTATATACATAAGGAAAAATATTTTCTCTTAATTTTTTGCTAGAAGGTAAAAATGCCAAATAAACAGATCCATCAGTTATCTTTTTTTTTTCCCCCTCAATATTCTAAACAACCTGAAGACAGCACATATGTAACTAGATTTAATCAATCTGTCTAAAAAACCTCACACCATTTGTAGAACCAGCAATGGAGATAACGTGCTTTCAGTTTAGAGGCTGAGAATTCCAACGCTCTGTATGTAAATAGAATGATGTGAACCAATAAGATAAATGATATTATAAAAAAAACAGTTGACATAGTTTACATTTTCTTTAAAGGGAAATATCTTATTTTCTTTGATAACTTTTCTTACAGGATATTATTTTTTCCCAAGTGTTTACTTTCTCTTTTGAAGATCACATGGAGATTCCAGTAATATAATAGTATTATTGTCTGTTTATATATGAAATAACATTATATTAAAATACAACATTCTTCTTATTACTGTCTTCAAAGGATATTTGTCCCTGGAACTGCATTCATCATGTTAATAGAGTTAAGAAAAGTTGCAGCAAGGTAATAGTAAGTGCCATTTGTAAAGAAAACTAGAGTTGAAACAACATAACTTTTAAGACAATTCAATTTCAGTTCTTGGCTGCTTGGGCAGACAAGTTAATTTAAGAAGAAAGAAGGAGCATTTCCTGAGCAGGTAGTCAATAAAATAAGACCTTACTGTACATAGGACTTTGTATCTTTTATAAACTGGTCATCTCGTCTATTTTCCTC